TGCAGCAAATTGCATTTCACTTTGAAAGTTGGTTATGGAAATCCTATATGTGTAAATAGAGATACCTGTTCTTCACTTCCTCAGTGCCCTGTAGGAATTCAAACTTCATACCCTGCTAACAAACTTAATATATTCTAAAGACTACTCCAGGGGAGGTTTTGAGGAGCATGCCAGCAGGCAGCAGCTTCCCTTCCTTCCATATGCATGCTTACATGACTTCTGAAGCATGGATACTGGGTATGTAGTTTAAAATCAAACCTTTGGCCACACAGTGAAGTGTGATTTTCTTTGTTTTGGTTTGGTTTTTTTTTAATAAACTATTTTCTATTTATACCAGTTCTTTAGTTTCTTTGCTGTCTCTGTCTTTACTCCAGTTTAGAAGAAAAGTAGCTGTTACAGAAGGAGTCTTTTATGTTAACTGCTCTGCTTACAGCAGTCGTACCAGTCCCTGTGACAGGGGTTATGAACAGTACTGACTGGACACAGTCTTGCACTTTGAAGAATAGTAGGCATTTTCTGTGATTCCGTGTTCTTATCTAGACTAACATTCGTTGTAGCAACTGCACCTAATGCTTCTCTGAAGGTGAACCAGGAGAGGTGGGAGACAAAGCTGCCTGAGCTCTGGTCCTAGCTCCAGGAAAGAAGACAGTATGATAGTTACGTGTTCAGATGCTTAGTGTCCGCTCAGGAAGAGATTAACCCAAGCCGTCATGAGTGCCTCAAATACAACATTGGATACAAAGAGGTACTTTTGCAGGTGAAGACTCTGACCTGCCTGTGTGTGGGACTGTTGCTCAGATTCTATGCTACATATCAGTACAGTATCCTACAGAGACTACTATTGTTATGTGAAGTGTTGCCATTGCTAAAAATCCTAACAGCTCATATTATGAGGGGTATTTTGGTGAAGCAGCATAGTGAGCTGCAACTTTTACCTCAAGTAGCTAAGCTTTACTTGCTGTCTACAAAACTTTTTTTTTTGTACTGTGTCCCAAGAGCCATAGCTCAGAAGACTACAATGTGGATATAATTGGGCCTAGCACCACACACTTCACGCAGTAGTACTTGAAAGAGTGGTGGGAGGTGGCTGTTACAACTGGGGACAGGAAGGATGACCACAGGGATTTAGCTTTTATAAAGCAGTAGCCTCTACTCATGCGCATCGTAATTAAAGTACTGGTGGGACATGCTGTCTAAGTCTACTGCATTTGCACTATGCAATTTTCTCTGGAAAATTCTGGAGTGAAGCCCTAGAAGATACTAACCTGTGGCAGATACCTAGGTCTGAAAGATTTGTCTGATATTAAATTATTTGTTGTTAGTTTACATTAAAACAAGTGCATACGTGTATATATATAGAAAAAAAAATAATACTTCCATCTTCATCTGGGGTCAGTTCTTGGAGTAAATTGCAAACACTGCTGATTTCCTCAAGGGAGACTGGTTACAAAAAGACTGCATTAGCAGTTTCAAAGTGGCTTTTTCTGTAGTGAATTGCCTGCTACTTGAAAGATCTCTTGCCATGGGATTCTCTTTCTCCTTTCTCAAGATGGCAGCAACATAGCAGTTAAGGGTTGAAAGCATAATGAAGATGCATTGTAACAAGACAATAGCTAAGGAGACAGCGGAAGTACTCTGGATGGTAATTTATTAGCCCTATATACTTTATCAAATAAATGCTACAGATACACTTGAAAAATGTCAAGGTATTCATCTTGCTTTACTAGGTCATCTTACTAGACCTTTGCCATTCTTTGGTTTCAAGTTGTTAATTTCTTGTATGCTTAATGCCAATGTACATGTCCTATAAAAATTCATTGGAAAGATATTCTCTGCTGCGAGTTGCACATTAAAGGTAGTTGCAGATGGCTGCCAAGCTGTTGGAAGTTTCCCTTCCTCTGCTATATGACTTTCATGCATAGAGCGATGGGGAAACAGGACGTTGTTCCGGTATTCAACGCTACTAGTCTTACCAGTTTATCCTTCCTTGCCTTTTGTCTCTTTGGGCTTTACCTTCTACAACTAACTTCCACTATAAGGACTATTTGTGCAGAAAGAGATGTGCTACCCAATGCACCACACCCCCATAATAAAGGGGATGCAGAATAGACCTCTTACACTATCCATTTTCCAGAACTACCAATTCAGCTGTTTCTCCTCTGCACCTGAAACACTACAGTGCTGATAGGCGGGGCCGCAGTAGCTGAAGAAGTCTGAAAGGTAACCACAAATGAAGCAAAAGCAGAGGATGCATTTACTCTTGTTGGCATGTCTCAACACCTCGAGCGAGACCTTTTTGCTGATGTTGGGCTGATCTACCCTCCCTTCGCTCCAAAAGGATGCACTAAAGCATTCTTAAGAATAGAACTTTATTTCTTTGTTAAACATAATCTTTTCCGTCTCCACTTCTAGCTAGAGCTAGCAGTACAATATAACACTGAGGATACCTTCCCTCATACAATGTTTTCCTCTCAGGCTGCTCCTGGCATCCAGAAAGGCTGCCTCCGTTTCCCAGCACTGATGTCTCTCACGTGTCTTTGATGTGTTCTCAGTGCTGTTACCTAAAATCTTTTGCAACAGGCAGCTTGGTGTTAAACACTTCACCTAACCTAATGTAACATGACAGCGTGCCCTTAAAACTTGAAAGGGAATTAACTGTATTAAAACCTCTTTAAGATAAAAATGCCTTAAGGCAAGAAGAGTCCTAGAACAAAGGCAAGACACAAAAGGGGATTGGTGTTCCAAAAGGACCCTTTTCATTGCGATAAGGCAGATTTTCTAACAACAAAACACCAAACCACCTCATATGAATACTGAGAGCACTCAGTGATGATCAGCTAGGGCTTAAGGCACTAGAAGGAAGCAGCTCTTCCAGTTGACAATCCCAGGCTTGACTAAGCCTCTACATTTATTTTGGAGAGAGGTACAATGGCCTGAGCATTGCAAGGAAATCACACAGTTCTTCAGATAAAGACTCTTGAGTCAGAGATTTCAGACGGAAGTGGGAGTTCAGTAAGTTTAGCCCAGCATTACTGGCTGCCTTTCTTTGGTATTAGAGCTCTAGCAGAACCGTGCTGATGTTTGCCGAGTTTGGGGGGAAGAGTAGAACAAAGCAGTCCTCCATCTTGCTCTGAGAAAGAGGGGAGAACACAGATGGATAAGTGCAAATTCCAGTGTAACGAGAAGCACTGCTGTGGCTGCTGCTACTACAGCAACATTTCTCACTTGGCAAAGGCAAAAGGCCAGGTTTGAATCTGAACTGGACAAAGGAGTGGTTTGGATGCACACGCTCACTCCAGAGAATAATTTACTGAATAGATAAAACTATACAGAAGCATTTTTATAGGTTACTTAAGTGATCCAGTTCACCATCCTCCAGCATACATAATCCCATTAATGTTAAAGGTTTGCCTGTGAAAGGACACTAGCACTTTTGGGGAAACACCTTCTGCAGCTTAGTGAGGGCAACAACTATTGTAACGGCAACAAGCATTCTGCCTGGCTGTCAGTCCAGAGCTCTTCAATTTGCAAGCAGTTTGAGAAAACTATTGCTGCTGGTTTTCCTGCAAGACGGTATCTCAGTCCATGAGCAAGCATACTGCAATAAAAATTATAAACGTGGAGCAGATTCTTCATTAAATTAGGCTCACAAGCAAGTGTATTGTGTGTTGAAAGTCCATCTTGCCTTCAACACGTGGACATTTGAGAGGGTGTCCCAGCTCCACTTTTCCCCACCACAGTCAGTAGCGGAAATCCTATTGACATCAGTCATGCAAGAATGGCATAGCTGGATTCTGGATTTGTTACTGGAGTCACACAAGAGTATGAAAACTGATTCTCTTTTAGGACTACCCTAACCTGGTAGCAGCCAAAAGCCATCTGCGTTTGGGTTACGCAATGGTAATTTTGTATAGAAGGTTTCCCTGTTGAGGAACTCTTGCACTGAACATAACTGCAACCCATTGCAGGATGGTATATCGCAAGGTTCAGATGAAGTTCTGTGAACATTTCCCACACATGTCCAATCTATATATATTAAAATTGCATGTAATTACAAATAGCATTGCTTAATCAACTTACCCAGAGAAGGTTTACCATTGTTCTAGTGTACAGTTATTCCACATTATCAACACCAAGAAGCTTATTCTGCTGTAAACTGGCTGGAAAAGAGAGAATGACCATGGTATGTCCTGCTGGAGAGAGATTGCAGAGCATTCCAGCCTGCCAAGACTCTTGGCTGAGCTGCATCTCTTCTGTGCTGATGTTTTCAAGATGCATGCCTTGAAGGAAGTGCTTAAAATCTCTGTAGCCAACCAAGAATTGAAAGGATAGCTTGGCTTCCACTGTAAGAACTCAAGACAGACTTGTATCCCAGCTGCAGTACATAGAATTTCATAGATAAAATGAGACATTCTGTCCTCTTATTTATGCTTACCTGAGAGCTGATGTAGAGATCTTTCAAGGTTTTG